GTGCGTTGTGATCAACTCACAGATTCTTATAAACCTTGCGGAGGTTTTAGCGAGAGTTTAATCATTTACAAACGAGTGAGAATTTATCTATTTGCATTGTTAATGAACTACAATAAATAAAAGAACTGATATAGTTTGACATCTTCCAATTTACAATTTATTACACAACTTCCCGAGTTCTTAATAACTTGTAGCCAAAAATGTGGCAGAAAAAGAAAGAAATAATACAATAACTAATATTTTGTGAGAAACACTGTAATCAATACAGCTATCGCGGCTGAAAATCAATTGTATCAACCCTGTCACAATGACCAATGGCTTATTCATAATCAAGTATACCAAACATATTTCACAGCGGTGTTTTTAGGCTGCAGAGAGTGAATGTTTCACAGGATCATTACTCCACATTCGTGGGCTGACACGTTGCCTGCTGAGATGCACAGACTGTATATAAAAGATGGGTCTGGATTCCAGGTCTGAAAAATGAAGCCAACATGAAAGTGCCTAAAACGTGCTTTCTTTCTAAAGGCCAACAGGGAATGACTCCTGCAGCTGCAAAAGGAAGTCGCATTATGTAGAAGTCTGAAGTCACGAGTTTTATCATATAAACTAATGTTGCTTTGTTTTTTCAGTTTTATGAGCGTTCCAAGTGCGATGTGGTTTCAAAGATTTTGACTTTAACTGCACTACTTATATTGTTGTAATAGTTATACTGACATAAACCTTCTATGATGTGCATGTGTGAATGTGGGTATGCCAATGTTAACCCCTAAAATTATTTAATCCAGTTAAGGTGATTTTTTCCTTCTAATGCAGCAGAATTTAGTTTCCTGTGTCACTAATGGATGAAATCACAAACCAACTCAGCCTTGCCTCTCAAACTTTGTCTCCAAACTGCTCAGCCTGAGCTGTCCTTCTGATGTCCTCATTTCTAATCCTGTCCCTTCTGGTCACTCCTGCATCTTCAACCCTGCCACCTCCAGCTCCACCTCCTGTGTTTTAGTCAGTGTCACACTTTCAAAGCCATAGCTCATAGCAGGTATATATTATATAAGAGACAGAGGGCCATTTGGTTGGAACCAAAGGTCAAATGTGTTCGCTCGTATCTGGATATTTGAATCTGTTCTTGTATATGTTGTAATTATGTTGTATTCTTGGCACCATAGGGAAATGACATGACATTGACATCAGCTGACACTGGTTTTATCATTTAAAAATTATTAGGTCATGAGCTAGAAAGCAACTCATCTGAAATTTTGTCTGGAAGGAACTGTCAGAAGATGTCTCAATTCGATCGTGGCCAGGCACGGCCCGCCCTGATTTACATCATATCTGCTTAGATTAGCACAAACATGAAGCTGCACAGGCCAGGCCTGTGGCGTCAGTCAACCTCTCTGCCTGGGTGTGGACACTGAGAAGGTGTGTGTATGTGTGTTTGTGCTTGCGTCTACGTTGTACTGAGCTGTTCTCTCTCCATTATCAGATCTTTTTCAAGACACTGTGAACGACGCCACAGAAAATAGCCATTAAAGTCGAATAACAGATTTTTAAAACAACTGTTTAAATTCATCATTAAAACTCATCCCACAGGTTTTAGAGGTCAATGTGGTGCGACCTGTTGGTTTTGTTGTTCTCTTTCTACTGTTTCTCCTACAGGGTAAATCTCAGTGTGCTCTGCTTTAACTCTCAGCAGTTTTACATAGGTAAAAAAAGGCAAGGGGATGAACTGGGGGGGGGATGAACTGGGGGGGGGGGTAATGTAGTTACACAGGAATATCTTAGAGAACACACCTGGGATGAATTGAGTTGGAGAGAAAGAGTAAAACACATCTTGTTAAATGTCAGCTGATACAACAACCTTGTGAGTCAAAACAGTGTGAGAAAGTGGGTGGTGATAGTGTTATTCCTGCTGAGTTGTGAAGTTAATTTCAGCATACTGTTCTATTGTTAACCTCGTTTTATTCGTGTGTCATTGATTGGAAGAACTTAAGATACAGATTGTGGGGTCAGGTAAAGCAACACAGCCATTTAGGATTATTGATTAGCCGTTGCTCCTCTTTGCACCGGCACAACTCATATCATTGTGAGGCCTCTCATCTTAGTTGGCCAGCTGCTAGCAGTACACAATTGTTGCCATAGGGATGGTGTCCAGGGAGACAGCTGTGGCCTTTTAGCAGCAGCCACACAACAGACAGAAGGTCATTCCTCACCGAGGGAACCTTTCTCCAACTGTCCATCACAGATTGTTTCCAGGCAACAGGTCAAAAGCCCTTTTTTTTTCTTCCTTCTTCCATCTTCGCTGTGTTTCCTCTTGCCATTTAGGAAGCAAAATAACCAATTAAATTCAAGAAAAAACAGACACATGGGAATATAACTAATAAGCAGGCAATGAAATTAAGTTTCAGCATCACAGCAAAGATTCAATTAAAAACTTTGAAATAGTAGCTTATATAACTTCCTGGTACCCTGGTCTCACACCTCCCTATAATATATTAGCACCTTTTTAAATTGACATGGGGCAAACATGTTAGCAAACTGTTTCCTTTTTCTCATCCAGTTAATACTGACCCAACATGAGCATTTAAGCTCTCCCTATTAGTCCTGAGTCTTCATGTAGTAACAGACTGACTCCACACCAAAAAGACCCATGAAGCCATGCTGGCCCAAATAAAAATAATTTAAAATGTTAAAAAGAAATGTAAATATTTTCTCAGTTTATTATAATCCGAAGTAAATTGTATGCTATTGTTACCTTGGGAATATGTGATTATATACTTTATGCATTTAGGTATGCAGACATGGTCGAGATGACCTATTCAAGTTCAAACCCAGCATCAGAATGGGGAAGAAAGAATTTAAGTAAGAAACTCCTGATCTACTGAGATTTCTGAAAAACAAGCATCTGTTGGGTTTACAGAAAATGGTCTGAAAAAGAGAATGTATCCAGTGTGAGCCAGTTCTCCAGGTGAACATGCCTTGTTGATGCTAGGAGAGAAGCCAGACTGCTTCCAGCTGACAGGAAGGAAACAATAATTCAAATAACCACTCATTATAACCAAGGTATGCAGAATAAATCTCTAAACCAAACCTACAAGCAGAAGGGCTTCAGCAGCAGAATACCACACCAGGTGCCCCTCCTTGGTCATTGCTGCTGCAGCATTTCAATGGTAGGGTAAAAATCTAGGGTAAATAACCTGAAAGCATGGATCCATCCTGCCTTGTATCAATGGCCCATCCCATTGTGACCACAGTATACCAATCTTGGCTACTACCAGTGGGATAACACACCATGTCATAAAGCTTACATGATCTCAAACTGGTTGGTTGAACATTACAGTGAGTTCACTGTACTCAATGACCTCCAAAGTCTTTAGATCTCAGTACAATAGAGCACCTTTGGGATGTGTTGGAAGAGTAGATTCTTGCCATGAATGCACAGCTGAGAAATTTCCAGCAACTGTGTGATGCCAGACCTCAAAATCCAGGAAACAGTTCTGGTGTACTACCATATTTCTTCTCATCTTACATCAAAGTGTGTTTTATTGGAATTTGTTATTAGGCATCTTTTGACTGTGACAAAGTGGAAGAGCAGTTGAAATGCTTTCCATTTGTCCCATATGTGTTTACCTTTTTTTGCACATTGTACACATTATTCTGTTATTGATTTGCTATTTGTCAAGTAACATTGCTTCACTCACCATCCCGGGTTTGTTTGTGTAAGCGTTCTGTTGCCGGCAAATCAAACATTCTGCAAATTAGGACAAATACTAAGTTATGTTTCTCTATATTTTATTATGTTACAGATTAAGTCCTTTGTTCATACTGTTTTCAGCATTCTCAACAAGACAAGTGATGGAAGGGCTATCCAAAAATAGGCTCTTTTTGGTTTCGTTTAATGCCCCGACAAAGGCCACAGTGCATCTGCTTAAGGAAATGTGTAAAATGAACCCTTTCTCATTACTGAGCTTCTCTTTGATCCATAGCTGAGTCTGTCTTTGCATGAATGACCATGGTGCAGTGCTGACTGTGTGAGTGAAGCTATCAGCAGCAACACCAAAAAGATTGTCAGGCACCCAGCTGGATTGCCTCCTAACAGTATCTCCCATATTTAAAAATAGCACGCACACACAAAATTACACAACATTACTGCTTTATGTTGTGGTTACTTTGAATGTTAGGGAGGGAAAAAAAAATAAAAGACAAGTTTTGCTTTGACGGTTTTCTGTTTACATAGAGAGAGCAGTTTATCAGAAAGTTTTACATATAACGTTACTTCTCAGTGAAAGAAAGACTGATGGGAGACAGAAAGTTTGGTTATTTTGTCATTTGTACAGTATCTAGCTTTAATAATTTTTGTCTGGAAGGAACTGTCAGAAGATGTCTCAATTCGATCGTGGCCACAACCTTTAACAGCAGGTTGTGGCAAATTTTCAAATATGAAATTATGTAATTGATGTTATTATTTTAACTTGAAAAACACATTCAAATAAAACAAATTAAAAGGCTGCAAAGGAGGAATGGAGCTTGCAGATTTCACTCTCGAACTGATTTCAAACGATTGCCGCTCATAGCAGCAGCAGCCACTACGCTCTGTCAGTTCCCCTCTGTCAGTGTGTCAGCGCTCCTGCTAATGGGCATGTTGCCAAGACAACAGCTCAAACACCTTGCCATCTGGGACCACCTGGTGGAGGCCTCCAAAAGACAACTTCACTAACTTGACTTCACTACACAAATACATGCATGAAGGCAGAGTGCAAACTGGCACTCGCATCTACAACACACACCCAACCACCCGCCTATCTGTTTTGCACTGAATTATGCTAGCCTACTGTGCTCCTTTAGTAATATTTCATCTGGTATATCCAAGCCAAAAGAATATATATCATTTGAAATATGACTGCGTTCGCTGTCAGAAGAGACAGACAAATGTAGAAATTATGTGTCAAAAATTATGTCTGTGGAAAATGACATAACTGGGGTTCATAAAGTAGCAAGCATACCACTTTCTTATACTGCTGTTTCTCCTGGCGAAGTGTGGTTACTTCAAGCTTTAGAGCTCGGTTTCTCTCCTCCAGCAGTCGAAAGCGGCTTGCGTGGTAGACAGTGGAGTGGCCTGTAGCTTGCTGAGATGAAACATCATATCTGGACTGCAAGACAAATAATAAAGATAAGAATAACCAGTGTTGAACATTCCTGTATTATTAAATACAATATCATTTTAGTAGTAGCTGTAATAGTGCTGGTAGAGCCAGGCTAACACTTCTGTGAAGCAGTCCTTCAAGAAAAACATTATCCTGCTGCTAAGATGTTACAAGTGATCATGTTCATATGATGCCATGCAGGTTTAGAGGTTTAAAGCCTCAGGCAGACTGGGACCAGTTGGTCAGCCCCAGGCACCACTGGTTGTTAGGATAAATGTGTATTCCATGACACCAACAACCTATATATATACATATACATATATATAAAAACACCCAGCAC